CATCTCAGTCCCTTATATAATGTCCACATTGCCTCAGATAATTTCTTTGATGAATCACTTGTAGGTTCTAATCAGCCTAGTCAGTTTTGTTACATCTATTTATGGTGACTCACTTAAATTTGACAGCATGTTGCTTATCATTTGAGCATGTGTATGTGTTCCTGTTCTATTTAGCCTCAAAGTACAAATTGTAAGATGGCAGGAATCCTAACTTTTACATATTTTGCATCAGGATTTTTAAAAATATATTTTTAAAAAATGTCAATAGACCTTAATTTTATTTCTTTATATGTGGTGCTGAGAATCAAACCCAGTGCCTCATACATGCTAGGAAAGCACTCTACCACTGAGTGACAACCCCAGGCCCAGCATTAGGATTTTTTAATGCTTAAAAAGTGCAAAAATAATTTTTGGTGCTTAGATATCTTAATATATATTTCAGCTATAACATTTATGGCACACTTGACTATCGCTAGGAGAAATAACTAGCAAATTACAGAACCAGGAAAAATCAGATGACCGCTCAGTAGCTCACAATATAGCTTTTTCATTTTAATAAAAAAATTGTCAGTGAGGCTGGGCAAGGTGGCACATGCCTGTATGTGATTTCAGTTACTTGAGAGCCTGAGGCAAGTGGACTGTAAGTTCAAGGCCAGCCTTAGCAACTTAGAGAGAACCTGTTTCAAAATTAAAAAATGGAAAGGGATGGTGATGTAGCCCATCAATCCCCAGCACCAAACAAACAAAATTGTATGAGTATACCTTTTTCCCCACATCCTCATCAATATTTATTGTTGCTTGTATTCTTAATAATGACATCCTGGCTGGAAATCTCAGGGTAGTTTTAATTTGCATTTCTCTAATTGCTAGAGATGTTGAATAGTTTTTCATATATTTGTTAATTGATTGTATTTCTTCTTCTGTGAAGTCTCTGTTCAGTTCCTTAGCCTATTTATTGATTGGGTTATTTGTTTTTTTGGTGTGAAGTTTTTTCAGCTTTTTATATATATCCTGGAGATTAATGCTGTGTCTGAGGTACAGGTGGCACCCCATTCTGTAGGCTCTCTCTTCGTGTTCTTGATTGTTTTCTTTGCTGAGAAGAAGCTTTTAGTTTGATTCTATCCCATTCATTGATTCTTGATTTTACTTCTTGCACTTTAGGAGTCTTGTTAAGGAAGTCAGTTCCTAAGCCAACATGATGTAGATTTGGGCCTACTTTTTCTTCTATTAGGCACAGGGTCTCTGTTCTAATGCCTAACTCCTTGATCCACTTTGAGTTGAGCTGTGCAGTGTGAGAGAAAGGAATTTAATTTCATTTTGCTTCATATGGATTTTCAGTTTTACCAGCACCATTTGCTGAGAGGCTATTTTTTCTCCGATGTGTGTTATTTGCATCTTTGGCTAGTATGACATAACTGTATTTATGTGGGTTTATCTCTGTGTCTTCTGTTCTGTACCATTAGTCTATGTGTCTGGTTTAGTGTTAATACCATGCTGTTTTTGTTACTATAGCTCTGTAATATAATTTAAAGTCTAGTATTGTGATGTCTCCTGCTTTACTTTTCTTGCTAAGGATTGCTTTGGCTACTTTGAGATTCCTGGTTTTCCAAATTAATTTCATGATGTTTATTCTTTCTTTCTTTTCAAATCAGTCTATTTTTTAAAGTTTTTTTTTTTTTAGTTGTCAATGACCTTTCTTTTATTTATTTATATGTGGTGCAGCGAATTGAACCCAGTGCCTCACACATGCTGGGCAAGTTCTCTACCACTGAACCACAACCCCTATTTTTTCTATTTGTATGAAGAATGTGGTTGGAATTTAATAGGAAATGTATTAAATCTGTATAGTACTTTTGGTAGTATGACAATTAAAATTCTAAAGGTTATAAAACTGAACATCTCTGACCTCCAGAGAGGGTCATTTTAGTTAACTGGTACTGTAATGATTAACTAAATTTATCTTCATTTTGCAAGTCACTGATCAGACTGAATCACGAAATATTGAATCATGGCACACAATCAATAAGTGTTGATCAGCAAAAACGAGGTGTTTTGTGTGGAGTGAAAAGTCCAAGCTTCAGGAGACTTGGGTTCTAGCCTCCACTCTACCCTACCTGCCATGTGTATGTTCTTGACCAAGGGACTGCATCTCCAAGGCCCAACTTCCTCAGTCTTACAATGGGAATAATTTTACTTTAGGGAAAGGAAATTAAGAGACTCTAAAGAGATATTATGGGTGTGAAAATTCTCTGTGAATTCCCAGAGTACCTGTAAACATGACTGATAAAACATTGTGTATTTGGGGTCTTAACAAAACTTAATTTTTTCTACTTCAATTTGAAATAACTACATTAATTTCACATAATTTTTACAGTAGAAATAATGCATGAAAATAGCTTGCATCCATCAACAAATGAATGAATAAAGAAATTGTATATGTACACAATATAATATTCCTTAGCCTTTCAAAAGAAGATACTGCCACTTGGGCAACAGGAATGAATCTTGGAGGACTTATGCTAAGTGAAATAAGCAGACAAAGAAACATACTGTATGGGGCTGGGTGGTTGAACACTTACCTAGCATGCGTAAGGCAGTGGGTTTGATCTCAGCACCACATTAAAAAAAAATAAAGGCATGCTGTCCATCTACAACTAAAAAAGAAATATACTGTATGAGCTCACTTTTATGTCATATTAAAAAACCGATTTAAATAAATAGAAGCAGAGAGTAGAATGGTTGTTGTCAGGGATGGGGGGGTGGAGAAGGAAACAGGGAGAAGTAGGTCAAATTGTACAATTTGCAATTAGACAGGATGAATAGTACAGAGATCAAGACACAACATAAGGACTAGAGCTAATAATTCTGTATTGTATACAGGAAATTTGCTATAATGATGGATTTTAGGTAATTTTACTCCAAAAGAAAAGATAAGTATGAAAATTGATGGATTACTAGTAATGATTTCACTAGGTATATCAAAACATCATGTACAATTTAAGTATACACATTATTTTGTTTTATTTTTGATACTAAGGGTTAAACCCAGGGGCACTTAACCACTGAGCCACATCCCCAGCTCCTTTTTTATTTTATTTTAAAAATTTGAGACAAGGTCTTGCTAAGTTGCTGAAGTTGGCTTTAGAATTTGGAATCCTCCTGTTTCAGTATCCCCAGCCGCAAGGATTACAGGGGTATGCTACCCACCCGGCAAGTATATACATTAAAAGTAAAATTTAAAATAGAAACAACTGGGGGCTGGGGCTGTAGCTCAGTGGTAAAGCACTTGCCTCGCATGTGTGAGGCTCTGGGTTCCATCCTCATCTACAACTAAAAAAAAAAAAAAAGAAAAAAGAAACAACTGCAATAATCAATGTCTTTGCAAAATACGTCTTTGCAAAGCATCGCCATTAGTGATCTAGTGATGCTTATCATTCCAGTGATATTTGGAGCCTCATGACCACTAAACGTCACCTTGGATTCAGGTGTGCGCATTGTGACCCTTCTGTACGGTGGTCCCATCCCTCACTAAAGCACCTGCCTGATGTTCTGTCTATCATCACCCTTGCTTGCCGCGCATTACTTTATTCCTTCATTCCCGACAATGTCAGGACAGAAAAGAACGGAAGCAGGAGCTGTGGCAGGAGGCGACTGGGGCATGGTTTCTTAAGCCCTCTCCACTCTGGGAAACCTACTTTCTCCAGGAGAGAGCAGAGAAAGACTGCCACTGAGCGTCTTCCTCGAGAGAAACACCGATTTGAACAACTATCCACAGGTGAAATGACTTCACGAGGGCTAAGGAAAGCAGGTGAGGGACCACAGCACCTGAGTATGGCATGAAGACAGGAAAAGTCACATTGAAAAGGGCAGAAAGAACAGTTAGGCATTACTCTTGTCACCCTTCCGTAGCCCGGGGCAGCGTGGTACAGAGACGTCCTGTCCCCTTGGGAGAAAGGGAGGGACGGGAGCCCTGGATTTTGCTTTGTACCCTTAGTTATCTGTGCAAAATTTCACTTCTGCAATAACGAAAAGGGAGAAACGCTAATTTTGACTTCTATTTTTACTTGGCCTCTAAAGAACATTTGGCCTTGCCATTTTGTGAACAACCAGTGTGTTGGACATTCACGATAAAATAATAATAATAATAATAATAATAATAATAATAATAATAATAATAATAATAATTATTATTATTATTTTCCCCAGAAACTGTTCTCTGGGAAGCTGTGGCAAGGCCAGGGCATCAGAAGAGCTCATTCCAAACCCAGTCCCACCACCTTTGAGCTGTGTGACACTGAAGTGTCTCCTTCTGCTTCTCTCAGAGTCTTTTTTCCTCATTTGAAAAAAAAAATACAATCTCTGTCTTCAAGTTCTTTACAGGGAGGGATGTGGGCGGTGGGGAGGAAAAAAATAGGAAAGAAAGGAAAGGTGTTTATGTTTACTTAGCTACTTGCTGAGTGCTGATTATTCAAGATGTGTGTTATGTTAGAGGCTTCATGTTAGACATGTTAGCACAGTACCCTAAAATATTTCACAAGACTTTCTTTTTCAAGGAAAATACCTGAGTGTTTGAGAGGCATTACTGGAGAAACATTATTTTTTGTATAAGGTCTAAAACACATGGCTAAAACAATGTCATAAACTCCCAAATGGCCATCAGTCTAAGAATCCAGAATGAACATTTTTTTTGATCAGATACTTTACTTCATTTGTTCTCAATTCTGACAGCTCACTGGAGCTGCTTGGGGTGTTAAAAAAAAAACAAACAACAAAACCAAAAAACAATACCAAGGCCTCACCCCAGACTGGTTACACCAGAATCTTCAGGGTGGGGCTGTGGAAAGGAGAATAAGAGTAAGAACACACTATTTTCATGTTTTTCAGTTGGCCAGAGTCCATTTAGAAGGAGATCAAATTGCATGTAGGTGATTGGTCACTGCATCAAAGAGTACAGTGATTCACATCAATATTAGTAGGGAGTGTTGTAAAAGCTTTGTATTGCAAGCTTGCTGTTGTCTGTGGTAAGAAGAGGAGGTTGCAATGGATCTAGTTGTGGCCCTGGTCCTTGGTCTCTCCTGTCTGCTTCTCCTCTCAGTATGGAGACAGAGCTCTGGGAGGGGGAAGCTCCCACCTGGTCCCACTCCTCTCCCAATTATTGGAAATATTCTTCAGATAGATGTTAAGGACATTAGCAAATCCTTAACCAAAGTAAGTATGCTTTATGATCCTTTGGTGGCTTGGAAAGGTTGAATAATTATTTCCTACTTTTAATAAAATTGATTGTTGAAGGCAGATTATTTTATTGTAAAGTGAATAATCCCTGTGAGTTATTATTTTTGGTGTGTCACTGTCAGAAATAGTTGAATGATATCATGTGTTTTCCTAGGAGAGTACTATTTAAGTTCTAAAGTGTACTCAAAATGATAAAGTTCTGTTAGTTTCTTGGTTTCACATCTTTTGCTGTGATTTTTCTTTTGTCTGAAGGTAAATGGTATTGGCAGTTTTGAGATTAAAGATTTTATTCAAGAAGTCATCTGCTGTACATGTTGTGTATTTTGTTTAGTTATAGAGATTAACTATAATTAGTTATAATAGTTAAACTTCTCCAGAGAAGCAAATTATGTGTAATGTCAAGGAAATACTGTGGGTCTATGCCACGTCCGGCCTCAAGAACTGAGTCTGGCGAAGGATGTCGAGGTTAAAATAAATAAAAAAAAATAAAAAATCACAGGGCACCAAGGTTCTTCATCTAGGAGTCAGCCAGAGTCAGCACTTTATTACTCACATCATCTCCTTTTATACCCTCAGCAGCAGAAGTGTAAAGTTACCCAAAAGAGGTAGGGAGAGGGGAGAAATTTGGTTGTGACATCTGCCATTGTTAGATAAAGGTCAAGACGTTCCCGTGGAGCACATATGTCTCAGGCGGATAAACAGGAGAACCGCCAGTCTGCATCATGGCCTTGTGAGCCGGCCACTTTGACATGCAGAACAAGGAATTGGGGGCTGGGCCCCGGGGGCCAGGGAAGGCCTGCTACCAGCAGGTCTGTAATAAGTAAATGTGAATGAAATAAATAGTTAGTGAGGGATAGTTGAGTAATATCAGGATATTTTGGTCCTGTGACCTGTGAATGTATAGCATGGAAAGAATTGTCCTTCCATGGGATGTTGCACATCCTGACATTGCTGTGCTGTATCCACTCTCAGTTTCTGAGTTAATAATATTGGTGGATTTCAAACTGGTCTGTGCATTAGAATCATCTGGGGAGATGTTTAAAAATGGATATTTCTGGTATTTATCACAGGGCTGATGAGTCAGATCCTCAGGGGAAGAGCTTAGCAGGTGATGCTGAAGCTGTGTCCTATAGCAGCTGGGTATTGGTCCAAATGTGGACATTGAGGACTGTGAAATTGCCTTAGGTAGAAGAGATCAACTAAGCAAGGGTTCAAGTTTGGGTTGTCTATTTATTAGCTATGGGAAACTGAAATGGATTTGAATTTTTGAACCTCAGTCTCTTTCTCTATATGTCAGAATAAATAAAGCTACCTCAAAATGTTGATTTATTTTTGACAGTCTGCCTCGTAATTTCCCTGGCAGTTCCCTGGCAAATGGGAGTCATTGTTTATGTAGAAGCTATAACAATCACCATCTTATTTATATATGAAATCCAGAAATATTTGAAGTTGTGTTTGACAAAAATGTCAACAGTACGATAATATTGGTCTGAATCATGAACAATATGTAGACCAAATACTGATTTCTTTTGTTGCTCTTTGCATTTACTTTCCATCTTCCAGTTCTCAAAAGTGTATGGCCCTGTGTTCACTCTGTATTTGGGCTTGAAGCCTTCTGTGGTGTTGCATGGATATGATGCAGTGAAGGAAGCCCTGGTTGATCTAGGAGAGGAGTTTGCTGGAAGAGGCAGTTTCCCACTGTCTGAAAAAGTTAATAAAGACTTTGGTAAGTGTGCCTGTGCATGAGTGTGCATGCATGTGTTGGGCAGTGGTCCTGGTATGAGTCTTGAATTGATCCCCAGGCAGATTTTGGCCACCCATGTAGCTGCTACATGTCAGTTTTCTCTTCCTTGCCTGGGATTTCCCTTCCAGTTTTTGCTTCCCATTCTGGTAGGAATCCTCTTCAGCAATGGAAAGAGATGGAAGGAGCTTCGTCGCTTTTCCCTCATGACCCTGCGGAATTTTGGGATGGGAAAGAGGAGCATTGAGGACCGCGTTCAGGAGGAAGCCCGCTGCCTTGTGGAGGAGTTGAGGAAAACCAATGGTGGGTGGTGATTCTTTGTTCTGTTATCATTGACCATATCAGATTGCTCTCTTCTCTAACAACATCCCTGGAAATACTTTAGGGGCAGGCAAATCTTTCATTAAGAGTAGTGGTTGTTAGTCTTCATGTGCAGGAGGGATGGTGTGATGCAGAGAGCCAAGGGAGCTTCTGGGTATCTGTGCTTGTTGTGTGTGTACACACGGTGCATAAACTGTGGTCATTTTGTTTATTTATTTATTTATTTATTTTTGGGTGGTGCTGGGTATTGAACCCAGAGCCTGGTGCCTGCAAAGCAAGTACTCTACCAACTGAGATACATTTCCAGCCCCTAAAGTGTGGTCATTTAATGCCGTTTTGTGTCAAACTTCGTTTTGAATCATGTCACCAAGAAAGTTTGAGTCTTCTTTTTCAAATTGTGAAAGAATAATGTTTTTCCTATAGTGTAATTGTGGGTTAAGTATTTTAAAACATTTCACTGGTAAACACTTGTCAAGTAGCCCTGATTGTAGTGATCTGCTACTTTTGTGGAGCATGAAATAACGCACATGTACTTTGAGTTAATTGGTCTGCATGCGTACAATCAGCCTCACGGACTGACATGTCTGGAAGGTTCTTTTCGAGGCCTGTGCCTACAGTCTTCACCAGTAATTGTGCAGATCTGTGGTTTTGACTCCCTTGGCATCTTTAATGCTTCTTTGTTTATTGTGATTTCCTTGTGAACAATAACTATTTAAAAACTATCAATTTGAGTTATTTACTGTTTCTCACCACTTGCTGCATTATTTTATATATTTAAGAAAATTTATATTCTAGTATAATGCTTCAAATTACAAAAATACTGGGTTATAAAGTGGATTTGTTGAACTGAATTTCAACTCTCATTATTAACTCTTTATCCTGACTTCCTAGTTGTAAGGTGATTCTGTTTTTGCTTACTTTGTGTTATTTTCTATTTTTATTTGTGTAGTAATCCCTTTTTTTTTGTTTTCTGATGGTTTGACATCTTAGAGTACCTCTGCCAGGGATACTTAATTCCCAGAGATAGCAAACAGCTTTCCTACCACAAGATTTTGGTGTACAAAACAATCTATCCATAACCCATACTTCCAACCACTTTCTGTATCAAATTATTTTACACCAAGCCAATATTCTTCAGAGCTGTAAATCACCCCAGGGACAGTTATGGGACAGTTAGTGACTATCCCCATTACCCAGAGCACATTGAGAGTATTCAAACTATCAAATTACTCAGTGCACCTACTCTGCCTCACTCATTCCTTCCCATGAAAACCCAATAAAAATCCCCTGTTTTCCCTTTCTCCTTTTGTCTCATGTCTAACTGTGATGCTTCTTCTTGCGCTGCCTGCTCCATTGTGGTGTGGCAGCCCCCTTCCCTTGGTAACAGAACCAAGCCATCTTTTCAAGGGCAGCCTCATCTGTTGACCTCACCATATCTGAAAAAAAACAAAATCCTGGGTGAATTTTATAACAATTGGATTTGGGGTTAGAAGTTTTATGGTAATTATTTGCTCCTCATTGTCCATTTTACTTATCTATGAAATGCTTGTCATAATAAATCTGATTTTCGGCTTGATTGTAAATTACTTTGATACTTAATTATCTCTTCTCAAGGAGGTGAAAGGTAAGATTGAAAATCAGATTTTCACTGTGAGTCACACTCTCCCCCCACCACCAGAAATCTCAAATTGACAATTGTAAATTATCCCCTGTCTTCCAAGCTAAGATAAAATTTTAGTACCATTTTGTTTCAGCTGACAAGGAACCTAGCATAAGAGGAGTTATCTACTAAAGATGCTTCTATTGTTGAATTCCCTATTCTTCTTCACATTAAAAAAGTTGACACATAATAATTGTACATATTTTGTACATATTTTTGGGATGCCATATTGTAACTTGACACATGTACGTAGTTTTTAATGATCAAATTAAGATAATTAGCTTTTCCATCCTCATAAACATTTATCATTTAAAATTTTTTTTTATTTGTTGATGGACCTTTATTGTATTTATTTGTATTGTAAGGGACCGGCGAAACGTCGGAGGAAGAGACCACCAAGAGACTGTCTCATGCAACAGCAAAAGGGTTTATTTGGGGACCAGCATGCTGGGGCTCAGAGCTCACCTTAGCAAAGAGAGCTAGAGCCCTGAGAACAGCTTAAGTAGAGCTTATATACTTTTCTTGGAGAGGGCAGGGAGGGAAGTTCATTGACGGGTCAGGGCGAGTGGGCAGTTTGCCTGCAACCCAGTGAGGAAGTGCATCCTGCAGTTTGGCAGTTGGGGACCGCACATTCTGGAACAAGATTAGCAAACAGTTCTCAGGATTTCAACAGTGTTTTGTTAAGCATACAGAGAAATGAAGTGACAAGTACCTATTTTATTAACCTTTCAGTATGTGGTGATGAGAATAGAACCCAGTGCCTCGAGCATGCTAGACAAGCACACTACAACTGAGCCACAACCTCCCCATCAGTTTTTTCGTTGGGGCAATTTGAATTCCTTTCTTCTAGTGCTTTGTAATATATATACACTTAACATAATATTCTCCAATTTCATCTGCAAATGACAGAATTTTATTTTTTGTGTGTCTGAATAAAATTCTCTCATGGAGGAGTCCATATGGTGGGTGGTGTTTTTGATATAGTTTACATATATATCTATATATATAATGATATATTTTATATATGTAGTTTATATATATAGTCGATATAGTTTATATGTATATACATATAAACTATAGTTATCCTGCTGTGCTGTAGAACACTGAATTTAGTCCTTCTATTTAACTATATTTTGGTATCCATTATCCAACATCTCTCTGTTCTCCCTCCTCCCTACCCGTCCTATTCTCTAGTAACCACTAATCTACTTTTGTCTTCTCCGAGATCACCTTTTTTAGCTTCCATGCATGAGTGAGAACATGCAGTGTTTGTCTTGGTGCCTGGCTTATGTCACTTAACATAATGTTCTCCAATTTCATCTGCAAATGACAGAATTTTATTTTTTGTGTGTCAGAATAAAATTCTCTCATGCATATATGTCACAATTGCTTTATACATTCATTCCATTCCCTGTGGATATCTCTGTTGAGTTCATCTTTTGACTGGTGTGGATAGTCTGTACAACCCTTTGAATTCACTCTTGATTACATCTATAAACTTGTGGGCTTTTAAAATTTAATGTTTATTGATGATTTGATTACAACAATCTCATTTAAATGTCCAAAAAAAGGAAAGATTTTCTCTACTTTTTCTTGAGAGAGAGAGAGAGAGAGAGAGAGAGAGAGAGAGAGAGAGAGAGAGAGAGAGAGAGAGAGAGAGAAAGAATTTTTTAATATTTATTTTTTAGTTTTCGGCGGACACAACATCTTTGTTTGTATGTGGTGCTGAGGATCGAACCCGGGCCGCATGAATGCCAGGCGAGGGCGCTACCGCTTGAGCCACATCCCCAGCCCCTCTACTTTTCCTTTTTCTATAAAATGATGGAATTGACTTAAATGATTGTGAAATTTAAGAAATGTATAACATACAGCGATAACTCAAGAATTCCATCAGAGGGCAGGCTTTGCCCAAGTAAATTAAACCTGAACAGTTTAATTGTGGACACTGTTTCCTAGGACAGGACATTTTTTCTCCCGTTCAATATTGAAATAAAGAAATAAAAGGACTCCATCAATTTAAACTTTTGTATTTACCCTATCTGTGATTTAAATTTAAAATGAACTTTTTAAATTTAACTTTTATTTTAGGTGAGCAAAATCTATCTTAGAATTTGTGCTCATTTTCATTAGTTTTTCTTTTCACACAACATGTATGCTTTTGCCTTTTTACATTTGTACCATCCAATACCTGCATTTTTTTATAGTTGTTCTCTCTTTAGTCTTCCCCTCTCCTAGTTCTACATACAGTTCCTTCAACTATTCATTAAATTTGTGTTACCCATGGAGAAGTCCATATGGTGGTGGTGTTTTTGATTCCTATTATAACTTAAAGGGAAACTGTCAGAGTGTCCGGAGCCCTTGATGTCCTGCAAATGAAGGAGAAGGATATCTTCAAACTCATTACTGTAGGAACCCACTTCGGTGGCACCAACTTTTCTTTCTAGATAGAACAATATATCTACAAAAGGAAAAGTGATGACATCTCTAACATAAATCTGAAGAGGACCTGGAAGGAGCTTCTGCTTGCAGCTTATACTATTACCATTAAAAATCCTGCTGACATTGGTGTCATTTCCTCCAGGAATACAGTCCAGTGGGATTTGCTGAAATTTGCCATGACCCCCGGAGCCACTCTTATTGCTGGCTGCTTCATTCCAGAAATGAATTTAAATTTAAATTTTAAATTTAACCAGTTCTAGGCTGCCTTTCAGGAACTGTGTCTTCTGGTGGTTACTGATCCTAGGGCTGACCACCAGTCTGTCTGAGGCATCTTATGTCAATCTGCCTGCCATTGCTCTGTGCAACACAGATTCTCCTCTGCTCTGCGTGGACATCACCACTCTATACAACAACAGGGGAGCTTACTCTGTGGGTCTGATGTGGTGAATGCTGGCCTGGGAGGGTCTGTGTATGTACAGCACCATCTCCTGTGAATACCCAGGGGCGGTTATACCCGATCTCTACTTCCACAGAGATCCCAAGGAGATGGAAAAGAAAGAGTAGGCACTGCTGAAAATACTGTGACCAAAGAAGAATTTCAGGGTGAATGAAATGCACTGGCTCTTGAGTTCACTGCTACTCAATCTGAGGTGTAGGCTGATCCAAAAGCTGCAGGTGCCCTCTGTGCCTCTTCAGTAGTTCCCTATTGAAGTTTGGAGCAGTCACTGAAGGTGTCTGAGCTTCCTCTGCTTAGACCACTGAGTGGTCTTGAGCTGTTTATCTTTTTTAAAAAAATATTATTATTATTTCGTTCTACATAATAGTAGAACCCATTTTGTTATGATTATACAAGTGTGGAATATGTCTTATTCTGATTAGGACCCCAGTCTTGTGGATGTACATGATGGTGAGAGTCACTGTGGTGCATTCATATATGTATATAGGAAAGTTATGCCAGATTCAGTCCACTGTCTTTCCTTTTCTTATCCCTGTCCTTCCCTTCATTCCACTTTATCTAATCTACTGAACTTCTATCTCCAGCTGCTATTGTGGGTTAGCTTCTATACATCAGAGAACATTTAACCTTTGTTTTTTTAGGATTGGTTTATTTCACTTAGTATGATAGTCTCCAGACCCATCCATTTACAGGCAAATATCACAAGGTCATTCTTCTCTCTGGTTAAGTAATACTCCATTATGTTTATATACCACAATTTCTTTATCCATTCATCTGTTAAAGGGCACCGAGGTTGGCTCCATAGCTTACCAATAGTGAATTGGGCTGCTATAAACAATGATGTGGCTGTATCACTGTAGTATGCTAATTTTAAGGAGTGGGATAACTGGGTCAAATGGTGATTCCATTCCTAGTTTTTTGAGAAATCTCTGTACTGCTTTACAGAGAAGTTGCACCAATTTGCAGTCTCACCAATAATGTATGAATGTATCCTTTTCCCCACAGCCTTGCCAACATTTATTGTTATTTATATTCTTGATAATTGCCATTCTGGTTGGAGTAAGATGAAATCTCAGTGTAGTTTTGTTTTTTAAAATAATACCTTTATTTTATTTATTTATTTTTATGTGGTGCTGAGGCTCGAATCCAGTGCCTGACAGGTGCTAGGCAAGCACTCTACCATGAGTCACAAACCCAGCCTCTCAGTGTAGTTTTAATTTACATTTCTCTAATTGTTGTGTTGAAGATAGTTAAACAAAATGGAAATAAAATTATAGAAAATAACATCAGTTAAAAAAATGTTTCCAGGTTGCTATTTTCTTCCTTTCTATATAACTGTCTATAAGCTTTCTAGAGAGATGTGATTTATGCTGATAAGTTGAATTATTAGGTCTTTAAAAAAATGATCTATTTGCATTTTCTTTTGCCTTCCAAAGTAATTGTTAGCCACCAGGGGCTATGATGTATGCCTGTAATCCCAGTGACTTGGGATGCTGAGGCAGGAGGATCTCAAGTTTGAGGCCAGCCTCAGCAATTTAGCAAGGCTCCAAGCAACTTAGCAAAACCTGTCTCAAAATAAAAAATAAAAGGGCTAAGGATGTGGCTTAGCACCCCTGGGTTCAATCCCCAGTACCAAAAAGAAAATTGTCACTTTGGGTTAGAAGCATGTAAACAGAGGTGGTGATGCCTACAGAATATTGGGTAAGTATTATGAAATAAGCTAGGACAGAAAGATACATTCAGATATAGAGGAAAGAGATGTGTTAATTTTAAGTATGCTAAAGTTTTTGCTGATAGGGAATTTCTAGGCAGATACTTAGATTTTCTAAACTTATCTTTACCTGTTATGAAAGATGAAGTGTCGAATGTATATACATGTATATTGATGATTTTTTGTGTTTCCAATTCTTTAGGCTCACCCTGTGATCCCACTTTTATACTGGGCTGTGCTCCCTGCAATGTGATCTGCTCCATTATTTTCCAGAATCGTTTTGAGTATAAAGATCAGAATTTTCTTAACTTGATGGAAAAATTCAGTGAAAACCTCAGACTTATGAGCTCCCCATGGATCCAGGTGAGATCTTTTTGAGAAACCATGTATGCTCTTTTCTCTGACTAGTCCACAATTCCAGAACTGAGCTATGAAGTGAATGTTTGAGAACTGGATATTTTGTATACTCTGATTTGGCAATCCTGGAAATCACACTTCCCTTTCTCTTTAGGGTTAAAAAAATTTTTTTTTGCCACTGTTGTTTTTTTTTTCTTTTTCACTGTTGTTATTTACTTACTTTTTGTGTTCTATAGACTATTGTATTTAGTGACTTTCTAAATATTAAAAAAAATCTGTTCTTTGTCATGTGCTATCTCTGAAGTTTCTAATTCTTGAGTTCAGCTAGTTTTTGATCCTGGTAATTGAATCCAGAGCTTTATGCCAAGTGGTCTACCACTGAGCTACTTCCTTGGATCTTGACAAATTTTTTGTTTTGTGATGGGGTCTTACTAAATTAGAATTCTCTGCCTTAGTCCCCTGATGAGCTGACGTTATAGGCTTGCACCATTATGGTAGGCTAGTTTTGATCATGGTAGGGTTAGGGTTAGGATTGTAGGCTTGCACCATCATGGTAGGCTAGTTTTTAGATTCCTTGGCTGTGAGGAGGAGAAGGAGAAGAAGAGAGAGAAAGGAGGAGAAGGAGGAAGATGAGAGTTAGAGATAGATAAGGGGACTAAGGGGAAAAATAGAAAGAGGAGGAGAGAGAGAGAGAGAGAGAGAGAGAGAGAGAGAGAGAGAGAGAGAGAGGGAGGGGGGGATAGGATGAAAAGAAGTGAAGAAAGAAAAAGGAAAGAAATAAAGGGAGAGAGGGAGGAACTCCCTCCAGATTGGCTCTATGCTGGGCATTCCTTGTAATAGCCTGCACTTGCTCTTAAGCAGGCTAGAGGTCAGCAGAGGTTAAAAACTTAAAGTCTTTTCTTAGCCTGTGTCTTGCCCTGGGCCTGTTTGTAATTTGTTTGAATTTATCAGAACGTGTGGGAGCTCTCAAATGTCCTAATTTTTCAAAGACATCCTTTCCCTAACTTTCCATCCTAGGCTGTTGTGCCTTCACTGTACTCTTTTGCCCTGGCTGCCTCAGGGTTGCTTAGTGGCATTATAAAATAAATTTTTTTCCAGGCGGGGCATTATGAGGTTTTTGATATTGCCATTGCTTTTCTGTCCCAGTGAGTTCTGACTCAGATGAAGCAGATACAAAGGCTTTACTTCTGACTTTCAGGTAGTCCTCGATAGGTTACAGCAGAGAAACACAATCTCTGTTCCTCTGGAACCAAGAACCAGGGTCCCTCACTGGGAACAGGGGTGCCCACTTTAAGGCCACTGCCAAGCCAGGGAGGGAGGTGGGAAGAGCAGAAGCAATGCCACAAAGCTCTCTGAGATTTTAGGTCTTTTTTTCCCCTTTTTTTCCCATTTGCTTTACCCTTTGTAAACATCTGACTGTCTTCCATAGTTCTGATAAAGTTGATTCTGCAGCTTGTCCAAGATATAGAAATTTTTTTTTGGTGATGCCTACTGTGAAGTAAATGTTTAGACACCACAGTCCTATCCAGATCTTAGTATCATGGTATGAAACTCTCAAAAAGGTAGACAGCCCTTCATTTTTACAAAGACGACAAATGCCTGAATCTTGGGGTAGAATTCAAGTCCAGTGGCTAGTGGTTTTCCCACCAAATCTCTGTTTGTAGGCAACACTTTGGTGACTGCCCCAAAGCATGCCCAGGCACACAGTGGACATCCAGGGCTCTTGTTGAAAAGTTTCCATGACCCACAGGCTGGTCTGCCAGTCAACACTAAGGAGCTCTTCATATACATTACTTGGCAGCAATATTGTAATTTAGAATATCAAGGATGGAGAATGTTAGGGATACAGCTGCTGCCAGGATCCTCTGAGTAGTGAGTGTGTTTGAGGCTTCAGCTGGAATCCTAGTTGAGAAAGTGACCAGGGTTAAGATCCCAGAATGATTGGTTTTTGATGTGAATGAACCATAAGCAAACATCACACTATTACCCTGTGTTGAGCTGCTGTGCCCTAAACTCTGCCTAAAAGATAATAGCATGATTTTATAGGAGTCATTTAACCATTCTTGTGTACAAGTGCTTGTGTATAAAATGCAGTGCTGGACTTCATGGTATCTTTGCACCCCTCCCAGTTACAAAATCGTAATTCTGTTCCTGAGGCTTATTGCTGGTGGAAGAAATAGCAGGGAGTGGCTGTGTGCTCTGTATTAGGTTGTCCAAATGCCCTTAACCTCTGTGCTCATGTGTTACATGTGAATCAGAGCAATTCATGGCATTCTATATTTCAAGGTTGCAAGTGAGAGAAGTGACATAAAGATGCCCTAATGCTGTAAAAATGTATCAGGATGGGACATTCTTCTCATGTTTGATGATGTGGTCAGTTTATTCCCATCTTCCTGTCAGCGTGAAGGACTCCTTCATACATGAAATCATATGCTGCTCAAGTTGGAGACCATTTTTTGTTCATTCCAGTTTTTAACCAGGGCTTAAGTTGGATTATTATATTTGCCTATGTCTTCATTCCATGGTTTTAACTTAATAAATGTCATTTAATTTTTAAGGTCTGCAATATTTTCCCTTCTCTCATGGATTATCTCCCAGGAAGTCATAACACAATTTTAAAAAATTTTGATTATGTAAAAAGTTATGTTTTGGAGAAAATAAAAGAGCACCAAGAATCTTTGGATGTCAACAATCCTCGGGACTTCATTGATTGCTTCCTGATCAAAATGAAAGAGGTAAAATGTTATTTGCTTGCATTTTGTGGTTCATTGATAATATCTTTTACTTATTGGGGATGTAACTGGTCAGGCAAGTAATACTTGATAAGCACTTAAGTGCCTATTGTATACATACATGGATCTGAATTAAGCATCGTGGAAGATTTAAAATGGAATTGTTTAACATTTATAGTACATAGGCACTGTTTTTAAGTTCTAATAATTTCTTTGAGTAAAGAGAGACTGTTCACCTCAGGTAAGATGCAAATTCAAACCTATAGAAAATACAAAATATCAAGCCATAAAATAAAAGTTGACACAGATACATCACACATCATACAGGGGAATAGAAAGGAAGGGTTAAACCTAGGTGGGATTTTTTAGCCAACTTTTTCATCACTGTGACCAAAAGACCCGACAAGAACAATTTCAAAGGAGAAAAAGTTTATTTGGGACTCATGGTTTTAGAGGTCTCAGTTCATAGACAGTCCATTCCATTTTTCTGGGTCTAGGGTGAGGCAGAACATCATGGGAAGAATGTGGAGGGAACAGCAGCTCAGGATAGAGCCACCAGAAAGCAGAGAGAGAATTCCATTCACTAGGGACAAAATATAAACCCCAAAGACACACCCCCAGTGACCTTCTCTAGCCACATCCTACCTGCCTACAGTTACCACTTAGTGGATTAAGTCTTTGATTAGGTTACACTTCTCATCACCTAATCATTTCACCTCTGAATGTCCTTGCATTTTCTCCCATATGATCTTTTTGGGGATACCACATATCCAAACCATAATGTTGGACTTCCTGCATTTCCAGAGGTTTAATATAGATCTTTAAGTATTTGCAGTGAGAAACATGGGATGGCATTTTAGATGGATAGTGATGTAGTGAGAAATTCAGATGTGTGTGGTGGCAGAGATGGAGGAGAGAAGCCTTAATTGAATGCTACTGGAAATGAATCTGAACAGAAAATGAGGGGAAGATATTTGTTAAATACTCTGCAAACCTGATTGTTGGCATGAAGAGTTTTTATTTGGTCAGGTATGTATGGGCCAGAATAACAATGTTATGCAAGGAAAATTATCCTGGAGTTCTGTAGAATGGTCTATATGGTGACAGTTGAGCTTATAGATTAGCTATGAGATTTTTTCATCTCTTTACACTTTGGATTAATAAATGTCTGAATTATAGAAATGCAGATTCTAAAATTCAAGTTATCCACCTTGTAATAGTCTCAGAGATTTATAGATTTTTATTTTAGTGGAGTAGATGGGCACCAAATAATAGGAACTGTGTGGGAAATTTCAGTATCAAGACAGTTTTGTCATTTGATAAGTTTAACCAAGTAGGAAAAGAACTTGAATGGTGGTAGGGTCAGTTTGGAAACTGAGAAGTACATAAGCACACTTGTATAGGTACAAAGTTCTATTTACTAGAAGAGGACAAATGTAGAAGAATCTGGAAAGAACCAACTTTAGAGAATAAATCTATCCTTTGTGTCCACTATTATTTGACTCCACCACTTTGTAACACTTTGAAAAAAGTAAGTCAGTGGGCTGTGGGCTAAGGTAGCAAGGAATCAAAGGGTGACTTTTCTAAAATTGTCTAGGGAATTGTGTTTGAATTTGAGTTTGGCCTGTTGTAGATGAAGTGAAGAAGAGGGAATAGTTCCAAGAAAATGGTGAAGAGAAGCAGCAAATCACTTTGACTCTTTGTCTTGTCTGTTTCTAGGGCATGATCATCATGCAGGGTCTAATGAATTTGAAAATCTCATTGAAAGTATGGACATTTTACCAAAAACATGGGCCTATATGAGTTCTTTATATTTGATACACATTGAGAGGGATTTTCTTAATGCTATTAAGCCTTACCATTTAAGCTCAGATTACAGTGAACTCCAAGGTCTCTTGTACTTCAGTCACCAAAGGCTGTTGCCTCAATACTGTATTTAAAACTGTGTTGTTCCTTGGAGCTCAGTATAGTATTAAAAATATAGGTTATTTTATTTTTTGTTGATACTTTTATTAGCTATCATTTACATACTATCTCTGTATAGATTTTAAGTATAGATTAATACTCTTACTATTTTCAGAGAGTTATGGAACCTCAACTAGAATCAGTTTCAGAACATGTTCATCACCTAGAAGACAAAACCTAGTCTCCTTCATTGCACCCAAGCCTTCAGCTTTAGGCAATAGTGGTCTACTTTCTGTCTTTATAGATTTGTTCTTCTGTACATTTCATATGAATGGAACTACATGGTGTATGGTCTTTTGTGACTGGCTTTGTTCACTTTTGTCATAAACCTTTAAAGTTTCATTGATGTAGCATGTATCAGTACCTCATCCCTTTATATGGTAGAAAAATATTTCAGTGTCTTGATATATTACATTTAATGTTTTCATTCATCGGTTGATGGACATTTGAATTGTTTCCATTCTTTGTTTATTATGAATAATACTAGGAATCTTTGTGTATAAGGTATTGGTTATACATGTTTTCATTTTTCTAGGGATTCCACATCACAGTGGAATTGCTCGCTGATATTGCATCTCTATGTTTAGCATTTTAATGTAAGAGCTAAAAATATGAAAACCTAGAAAAAGACATAGGCATGAAATTGGCTCCACCATTTAAAAATCTCTCTGCGAGGTGAAAGATTTATATAATGAAAATTACAGAACCCTAAAGAAAGACATAGAAGAAGACCTTAGAAGATGGAGAAATATACCCTGCTCATGGATAGGCAGAACTAACATCATCAAAATGGCGATATTACCAAAAGTTCTCTATAAGTTCAATGCAATACCAATC